GCTATCTGCTCGTCATTCATAAGCTACAACTCCCGCACGATTAAAATTTCCCCATACGTTCTACAAGATGGAAAAAATCAGCTACCCGTGAAATAGATAAGACAGGATAAGATGAAAGTGGAGGGTATCGGTCACACTCGAATATAAATCTCTTGCTTGCGTTTTTATGTATATCATTGTGTACCGTTTGCCTGGGAATATATCGTGGAGAATATCAGTTGGTTTGAATTGTATTGCAAAACTTCTAATTGTGAATTTATCGGGGAAATTAACTGCCACTGAAATTTCGGAGAACAGGACTGTAAGAAAAAGCATACACTTATCGATGCAGTTGTGAGCTCATGAACAAAAATTAAGTCTAGTTTTAAAGGCACTTTTCCCAATACAACTAAATAGTGGTAGTACGCTTATGTTATTTTAATTGCTTGCATTCTCCTTCTTCCATACATATTTTTTATTCCAACTTCAAATTAAATTTATATTTTTCACTTTTGAAACATTTTATCAATGTAAGCGATTATTTAACTTCTAATTCTTATATAACTGAAAAAAAAATAAAATAAATTTATAAAGCTCTGCATAAATACTTTCAAGGAACTTTTCTTCTTTAGAGTAAGTCTAATTCAAATATAAATATTTATATATATATATATATATAAGTATATAAGTATATATATAAGTATATATATATATATATATATATATATACGTAGAGAAACAATTGAAAAACTAAACAAACAATATAAGGTTCTAGAAAAATATGGCAGAAATATAAGTGACAGAGCATGAAAAAATATTCTGTGTGTATACATGCAACACAGCTAAGAAGTGTGCAATGTTGCAATTTTTCCTACTTTTTCTCCCCATTTCTTTAACAAAATCAGTAGTGCGCAAATGCAAGGATGTATAACAAAAGATAATTTAAAAAAGAAAAAAAAAAAAAAAAAAAAAAAAAAAAACGAAAGGATGAAATGATAAACGTTTAAACAATAGACGGGATACATAAACTAAAAGAATGCACGAGGATATGGCAGCCAAAAAATATGCTGCAGAAAAGAGATTTGCAAAAAATAAAAAAAAAAAAAAAAAAAAAAAAGATACCTAAAATATGTAATGTGTGTAAATGATGTGATAACATTACAACACACTCTCAAGGGATTTCTTCTCGCATTGCATGAGACTTATATGAGAGGATTAGATAAGTAGCAGTAAAAAATCCTAAAGCGTAGTAGTAGAGGTATTATACTTAAAGCCGTTGAACATAACAATAGAAAGAGAAATCTTTTTAATAAAAATACCAAAAAAAAAATCAAAAAAACAAAAATGAAAACATTATAAAATCTATTTCAAAAAGCTTTACTTAAGTATATATATATATATATATTTTTTTTTTATTGCTTCAAGTAGTAAAACTTTATTTATGAAAGTCGTTTTTAAAACAAGTCTATGCGATGTAAGAGCACTTAAGCCGAGTTCTTAGACTGTCCAAGGAGTTTTAATTAACATTTTGTTATTCTTTCACGTTTCCTCTCCGTCTCTTGAAGTATGCTATATTTTCATTGTATTTATGAAGACACCAATATGTTGACTTTATTAATGCGTTCGCGTTAACGTTAAGCAAATTATTTTGAAAGACAAAGGAGTATCTTCGGTACCTAAAAATAAGCAGATGGTACGTCTCAAACTAATTACTCTAAAAACTTTTTTTTGTTATTTTATTTTTTTTTTTTTTGCTCTTTACTTTGATTTAAAAACTAGAGAGATAGATAGATAGATTTTTGAGAATTCAGCAAAGAAAGAAAATAAGTATTACAAGATAGTGAAAAGTTTTACCCGTTTATTTTTTTTTTTTTTTTTTTTTTATTCATTTAAAACTAGCATTGCATACTTGTAGGATCATTTATTAAAAGTTTCTCTGAAGCATACTTTTCAAAGTGACTGAAAGTTTGCAGCATAAACGTTTTATTCATTTATATTTTAGTTATTGCCATCTTTCTCTCTTTCTTTTTTTTCTACTGCAGAAAGTGGAGAATATAAAATTGTGATTAAATAAGTTTCAAATGCAGTGAAAAAAATTTAATTTTCTTGAAATCAAGAAGTAATAACAGCGTAAAGAAAAATATATAAAATGAGGAAAAACAAGGAAATAAAAAAAAAAAAACATCAAAATGTTCAACGATAAATAATACATTGACAGCAAACATTAACGGGGAGAAGGGGTATAAATATCAGATATAAAATACACGCGCACATATACTTGCATACAATAAATTAGTAGAAAGAGTAGCAAGAATAGCAGAATAAATATAAACATTGTGCGAATTGTGTACGCGGCAGGATAAGGAATGAATGTTTGCGGTAGCAGAATGGTAATGGTTGCGATAAATTGGTAGGAGGGGTAGGGTGCTTTTTACTTGGCTTTATGCTTGAATGAATAGTATTTTCGCTTCTTTTTTTTTTCCTTTTTTTTTTTGTTTTTTTTTTTTTTTATGAATCAGCCGTTGTGTGCGCTTTCAAGGAATCAATTTTTTTATTGTTGTTGTATTTTTCTTCATTTATTTTCCGTCTATTGAAAGGGGCGACAAACCGAATAAGAGCATCCTCGATTTAAGAAAACAAAGACTTTTCCATTGACTGTGTATTCTTTCGAAACAAATCAAAACTTATGTGCAGATGTTGAAGCATAATACGGTTTCAATACTTTTTAGCGTGTAAGCTGCTGTTGCTTGGGATAATGTTTTCAGTTATTTGCAAAAAAAGGAATTTTCAGTTAATGCTTTTTACTTATGTATGCAGGTTATTGTTTTTCAAAAAGGTGTGTGTAAAACTCTCCTTAGAGAGTTAAGGGTACGCACGTATATATATTAACGGAGTCTGGGGTGTGCGCACGTACATATACATAAATATTTAATGTTTATTGAAGATCTTGAATCCTCAAATTAGTTGATTTGTTGCTATCGGTAAACAGGTATTGAAAATAAAGAAAATGCTTTTAGTAAGATTAGGTTGAACTCCTCAAAAATAAAGGTGAATAAATTCCCTAATAGCTTGAGAATGATTTATGCATGTCTTGACAAATTACTAACAATTGTCGACATAAGCTTTAGCTGAATAATTAATCAAAGTCGTTTAAATAAATGTTCAAATATTTTGAATTGAAAAATGTTAATAAGAAATATGTTTACATTAAAATTTATGATAAATGTGGTAACTAAAGTGATGGTTATGCTATTATAACCCAAACAATTCTCTTAGGACTCATCAAGAGATGACAAGTATACGAACGAAAATTGTTCCCTTGGTTAATTTCAACACTTTTAATTTGATTTAAGTCAAAAATATTTTATTTTAAATAAACACGAATATCCTCAATGTCCTGATAATCATCGGATTCTAGTAACTTTAAAAGTGAAAATAATTTTGTCTAAGTGAAATGAGATTTTCATACAAAGATATTGCAGGATATAGAAATAGAGTAGAATAGCGTTAAACCTGGGTCATATCTTTTTCCAATAAATGTGTTCTTTTCTAATCCTCTTCAGAACGTGCGAAAGATTTAGAATTCAGTCACCTTTGCACTCTGCAATTATATCACTTGAATTTTGAAAGGAGAAGACAGGACCAGGATAAGGCAGTAATGCTTGCTGCATTAGGGATTTGAATTGTTAGTGATTTCGCTTATTTTTCTTCCGCTAACCGTCCGATTACTTTCTTAAAACCATCACAGGGATACTGTTACTCTATTTAGAAAGTTCTGTAAAAAGACTTTTCTTCTGGTCAAATATTCTTCTAAAACCTTTTCCAAATTTTATTCGAAATGTAGGTTCATAAATATATCCAAGCACTGCCTTAAGATATTTGACGGGCTAAGCAAGCTTTCGAAATTTTTGATATGCCAAAGAGAGAATAGTTCGTCTCGATAGGTAGCAAGCAAGTAAAGATAAATGAAAGATAAGTTGTTTGGGAGATATTTACATTTTGGAAGCTCAGCTCATACTTTTCACAAAGATTTATTTCTATGTAAGGGACCATGAATACTTATTGTTGTGCTACAATGGGAGAAAGTTTATACGACGCAAAAAGACTTGATAGCATCTTATACGGTACAATGGCTGTTTATCAAATTGTACGCGCTTTGGAGACCAGGTGGAGACCGTTTTTTAATATGCTCCACAAGCTTCGAACCCTATCTGCAACTGGTTTTTTTTTTTATATGGCCAATCACTTAGCGGATACCTCCCGGTATAAGAAGGGAAAAGTCAGAAAGGAATACTGAGAGAGAGAGAGAGAGAGAGAGAGAGAGAGAGAGAGAGAGAGAGAGATGGAGAGGGAGCGACGCCAGTCTAGTGGGCGTGTGGCTAATGAGGCACCCACTACAGCTGTTTCATTGTATTTCTTATATCAATTCCTATGTCAAATGTATGTGTGTAAGGAACTAGCGGTAGGTGAAAAGGGTAGCAAGGGTTGATTTAATTCATCACGTTTAAAACATTGTTACTTAGTACTCTATTACTTAGTGTCTTCCCTAACAGGCTTGCAATTCAACTAATTTGCCAGAAGGAGAAGTGCGTCTTCAAAAAGACTTAACCTTTTCATAAAAATGTTCTTTTAATATTTGTATTAAAATTTTATGAATTTTCTCCTTAAACACACTTATTTCGATAAATATATTCAAACTTCGTTAGGAATAATTTTTGAACGGATATTCGAAGTTTTAATTAACATTCTAACGAAACTTCCAGCTAAACTTTGTTTCAACTTGTAAAATAAGAGAACTCATCTCTGACCAATCTTTACAATTAAGCAAAACTTTGTTTCCATCTCAGATATAAAATTAAGCAAAAAAAAAAAAAAAAAAAAACTATTTAATCTTTCTGCAATTATTATTTTAAATATTCCCAACCGTGTATTAAATACGTACATGCGAATCAAAAAAAAAAAAAAAAAAAAAAAAGGAGAAAGAAAAAAATTCAAGAACAGAGACAGAAAAGAGAATTTACCTTTGTTAAGCATTAACGTATCCATGGGTTGTGCATGTGATTGCTGCGAATCCATAAAACGCTTATGATGCAAACATGTAAACGAACTTAAAGCTGCAGGTATGCTATTGTTGACGGTATCCGTGGTTAATGATGATGACGATGTTGTCGCACCAGATGGCGTTGATGCCGCTAATGCCGACGTTGGTGCCGTAGCTGATACTGTTGCTGATGACGAGACGGGCGGTGTATTAGAAGACATTGTTGTTGACGGTAATAATGACTGTGATGACGATGACAACGCCACCGTTGTCATAGCTGCTGCTGACGACATGCTAGAGGAGTTAAATCCACCGTTCTCGTGCGTTGGCATAGTTAACGTCATATTAGGAATCTGTGTAAATAAAGATGTGAAAATTTTTGCTTAGTTTCATTATTTATTTTACATTAAAATGTAAAAAATTGAAACAAAACACAAAATAAATTTTTTTGAAAAGAATTTTTAGCTTATGAGACTTTAAGGCGAAAAAAAAGGGCAAAAAGAGTTTTCCATAGAAAAATTTTGTTAATTTCTTGATATTATCAAGTAATAGCCATAATAATAATCATAACGCGAAATGAGAAAAACAATTTTCATAGATTGTCGAAGTATTTTTGATCGGCAGGTTCTGTCCATGGCGAATTAGGTATACGTCTAACAAAGGCTGTAGAGATATATTGAGTCCTCTTTTTTTCATTGAAATATTTTTTTTACTTACTTCCTTGTTCAAAAATGGACTTAAGGGCAAATAAATAAATACTTTGTAGCGAGAAGCTAACACATTCAAGAATTTAGGCATCAATAAAGATTTGTCATCAAATGCCATTACAGCCTCAATATTTTCAAAGAGTGCAAACTTTTCGCAAGGCCGACCGAAATATAGTTACTTCAGTGATGTTACTTTTGCCGTTTCCGAAATGATGCAAAACTCTGGATTTAACTTTTGCCTATCAAAAGAGAAGATTTACTAAATTTAAACAAAATCGTATTGACGCCATGATGCTGAACGCTCCGTTTAAGCGAATTCAGCGATTGCTTGAGAAAATATAAAAAACAAAGCCGAAAACGAACCTGCATGAGATAGCTGACACTTTAATGATATCAAAAGGGAGTTTATTTACTACTTTGCATGAAAATTTATCCACGAGAAAGCTTTCTTCGGAATGGGTGACACCGGATTGATGACAACCAGGTTGTTTAGACGAAATAAAAAGAAGTTCGTCATGCGACATGTGGCAATTGATGAAGCATGGGTTTATGACTGCGCTCCAAAGTCAAGTTAGCAATCAGCCAAATGGCAAGCAGCCAAAGGGGAAAAGCTGCTCAAAGTAATCGAGAGGCCAAAAGTCGGCTGAGAAGTGTGTAACGTCCGTATTTTGGGGTGCGCTTCGCATAATATTTATCGGCTGCCTTAAAAAGCGATAAAGGATCAATAGCGTATGTAACATATGCCGTGTTACATTCGCATCTTGTAAAAATTAAGAAAAAAAACTGCGAGCTAGACCGGATGTGATATACGTCCGTAACATAATGCGGTGCTTTATGAATATAGGACGGAAGTACCATCCTATACCGGAGCGAACACAAAAACAGTTTGGCAACCATTTCTTTACAATTTGAAGATTTCAGATTAGACGCTCTTTGATTACCTTGCTCGATTCCGGTTGCGAAATTGAATAAGGAAGATTATGAAGGAGCGAGGCAATAGCCCGCGCTTAATATTTTGGGCACATGAGCGGACTTCCTTAAACTTAGATAGCAGAAACCGGTCGTCACAGTTCAATTCGCTATCTAGACTGCCAAGAACTTTGGTTGTCATAAGTCAAAGTACCTAGATTTACGTACTATCGGAAAACATAAAGCGTTTTGACATAAATATAAAGTATGTTAAGGGCACGCTATAAAAAACAGTGTCCTTAGATCTTCTCCATATCTTATAAAAATTCAGTAAATTTTTCAAGTAGAAGATTAAAAAGCACTTATATTACAGCGAATAAAAATTTCAAGCTACCCTCCGCACATTTTTTCTTAGTTAGTTTTTATTACATTTCCCTCGCTGCTTGTATAGTTTCCAATTACGCTGATATATTCTCCGTCAAGGTCAAAAGGGGTTTTCGCTTTTGCTGTGAAACTACTACTAGCACAACATAAACCTTTCACCATTTCTTCCTTTTTTTTTGTTTTTTTTTTTTCTTGCAAAAACATTCTTTGCATTGCATGTCAAGTGTCAAAAAGGTCAAACGACGAACAGTGCTCTTTACTGTTACATTCCAACAATTTAAGTAAACAAACTAAACTAAAAACTGCTTTTCACCAGAAAAGATACACATTAGGTAAAGTTATGCTTGCACACTTACTGCAACCGCTCCTCTCCGATCAAGTATCAAATCGTAGCAACTTTAACGTATTGAAAATGGAACACTTTCAAGACAGTCACCCACCCACCCGCTCGGCCGCCCTTCTTCTTCTCATCTTCATCCCACCATGTAAGTAAGTAAACTTATACCACCTACTTTTTATACACAAATAAGAAAAAGAAATTCTTTTAACAATAAAACACTTTAAAATGAATGAAAGGTAAAAATCACACAACTACGAATACGATAACAATAACAGCAACAACAGCAACAGCTGCGGTAATGGCATTAACTTAAAATAAAACACGTCACGATTTTAGCCACATTCCATTTATAATAAAAAGAAGAAGAAGAAGAAGAAAAAGAATTAATAATAAAGAGAAAAAAAAAACAGAAGAAGTGGAAGCGTCGTCAAATCTACATGAAATCTCATACCGGGCTATGTATGATTCGGGCTTACCCATCTAAAAGCAAACATCTATTGTGTTGATAAATAGAAAATTACATTTCTTTCCTCTCACCAGTTGAACGAAATTTGTTCAGATTCGTTCCACTTTTCTTCTGCCCCTTTCTTTATACGGTACCATACTCTTTATTAAAGCGCATCGATTCAATTTTATCCCCACAACAAAAGAATATTTCTACACTGAAACTATTTAACTATTAGCACCAACAAAATACTATATATACCGCTAAAAAAAACAAAAAAAAAAAAAATATCCAACTGTTGTTGTCGGTAAACAGAAAAAGTAAAGCGAAGCTACAATTATAGAGAGGTAGGTAGAGGAGAGAAAGGCTAAAAGAAAGAGAGGGAATAGAAAAGTTTTTCAACTGTCAGAAAAAAAAAAACTCGAAAAAAGTTGATAGACTCTATCATGGAAAACAAAAAAAACAAAAAAAAAGAAACAAAAAATATAAGAAAAACAAAATAAAAATAGAATTTGAAAGAAAAGGAAAAAGTAATTTTTAATAGAAAATTTTGCACTGGATTTAGTGTTGGTAATGATTGTTGCTGTTTTTGTTGGCTTTCTGTCGTCGCGCACAGTGTCAAGTTGGCGTGACGACCACAATAAGAATGGAAACATTAACGCAACTGCAGCAACAGTCATCATATTCTTATGGCATTGATGGAAGCGACATTTTTTTTTTTTTTGCGCTTTTTGATATAACTTCTGCTATCAAGACGTGAACGTGTGAAATGTGGCAACGACCTTAATAATAATGAAATGAAAAGAAGCAAGAAAATGAACAATACTTGGTTTTATTTTCTTTCATTTTTTTTTTTTTTTTTTTCTTTATCAAGATAATAAAAGAAAATTTAATTGAAATCGATAAAATCTTTAATCTGTTCTGGAAGGGAAATATCTACGATAATAAAAATATATATATATATATGTATATATATATATAATATAATTTTTTTTTTTTATATATATATATATATATATAATTTCTTTTTGTAACAATAAATGATTGAAAGCAGAATTGAATTGATTGAAGGGAATGAAATGCGTAAAATAAGAAAGCTTTCAATTTAGATACCACGGTTTTAATGCTGCCTTTAAGGCTTATAAGTTTTTCTTTTAACTAATGTTTTAGATATTTGAAGGTTTCCTTATGATACTCTTATCTTTTTCTCAATAGAAAAAACTTTTAGTTTTTTTTTTAAATTATTATTCTTTTTAATTAGACTCGTTTAAATTTTCTTGGTAGCTTAGCTCTCTTTAATCATCAACGGCGCAACTTCTACTATTTTGTAAAAAGTTTATAATTGAAGATGAACAACAAAATATTTTGGCAAAACATTTTTAGAAAAATAGAAAGTGTTTGAGAATAATTAATGTAATAAAGTTTTCTAACAACACTTCAATATTTCATATATACATATATACAAACATACACGCGCATACATGCAGACAAGTCATGACATCAATAAGAGTCAGCTACTTTTCTACTCAAGATATCTTGCTTTTATATGACAGAAGGTTGATATAATTAATTACGACCTATCTATCTATCTAACTTTGGTATTGGTTAGGGGATCCTATTTTTCATGTTATGACAAATCGATAGTTTTAGGTGAAGTCTTTTCCACTGATTTTTTGTTGTTTGTTTTTGAGTTTTTAGCGCCTTCTACGGCATAAATTTTTTCAAGTAATAATAAAACCACTTACGTTTACTAATCAAGATCGTCAATGAGTAGTAGCTGATAATTAGTGTCGGTTAACTTACTAATAAAATTTGTAAACAGTTAGCATTTGCTTTAATAACCCAATTATTTGTTACTCACTTTCTTATTTCGTAAAAAATATATAAAAAAAAAAAAAACAACAAAAGATCTGATCAATTTGAAAAAGGAGAGATAAATAACAAAACTTTATGCCCACCTTGAGATGAATGTTCGATATTTACTACTTCAAAAAGCCACTTGTCATTGTCGTTAAGTGTTTTCTTAACTGTTATAGCTTTTTAGACATAGCATGATTCCATTTACCATACTTGAAATCAATATCTGTTTTCTTCAAATTTCTTCCATTCGAAGTTTAAATCATTTGTCGATCAATCTTAATACTTGTATGCTAGAAAGCGACCGATTTATTTATGCAAATCGTAGGCATTTCTAGAAGCCAAAGGTTAGATAATAAAACAAAGGATTTTAGTATCATAAACTGACTTTAAAGGCCGTTCTACTTTCCTATTACAAAATTTTTCCCCATAAGTACAAATAATTTATTGCATACGTGCATAAGATGTTGTGGTAATTTGTTAGCGGCTTACCCAGCACCCAGCACCAGCATGTTTAATTACCATTATTTTTAACAAAATTTCTTAATATTATAGGTTAGCGCAGTCATTATCTGCATCATTATCGTTGGCTACAATCAAAAAAAAAAAAGAAAGTTTAGTCTTTCTCTCTCCCTCTAGAAGACCAGCAGAAATATTTCTTGTCGCCGCTAAGATTTTAAGTAAACGTAGTGAAAAATTGTTTCTTGGGGC